GTTCATAGCAGCACAGTTCACAATAGCAAGACTGTGGAACCAACCTAGATGCCCTTCAATAGACGAATGGATAAAAAAAGTGTGGCATTTATACACAATGGAGTATTACTCTGCATTAAAAAATGACAAAATCATAGAATTTACAGGGAAATGGATGGCATTAGAGCAGATTATGCTAAGTGAAGCTAGCCAATTCCTAAAAAACAAATGCCAAATGTCTTCTTTGATATAAGGAGAGTAACTAAGAACAGAGTAGGGATGAAGAGCAGGAGAAGAAGATTAACATTTAACAGGGATGAGAGGTGGGAGGGAAAGGGAGAGAGAAGGGAAATTGCATGGTAATGGAAGGAGACCCTCAGGGTTATACAGTGGAGGAGGTAGAGAGAGAGGAGGGGAGGGGAGGGGAGAGATGGGGAGGGGGGAGGGTGGAGGATGGGAAAGGCAGCGGAGCACAACAGACACTAGTATGGCAATTTGTAAATCAATGGATGGGTAACTGATGTGATTCTGCAATCTGTGTATGGGGTGAAGGTGGGAGTTCATAACCCACTTGAATCAAAGTGTGGAATATGATATGTCAAGAAATTTGTAATGTTTTGAACAACCCACAATAAAAAATTAAAAAAAAAACAAAAACAAAAACAGGCTCTTTAATTATCCATTAACCTACTGAAAGCCACCTAGTTTTCTTCTAATTTTTAAGGGAATTAAGAGTAAAAGGACACTTGCTGAGTGCAGTGGTCCATCCCTGTATTTCCAGAAGTTTTGGAGGCTGAGGCAAGAGGAGCACAAGTTTGAAGCCAGCTTGGGCAATTTAGTGAGACCTGTTTCAAAATGCAAATTAAAAAGGGCTAGGAATATAGCTCAGTGAATGACTCCTCACTTTTGCTGGCAAATGTCCAATGGATGGTTAAAAGCATCTCTGCTTCCATTTTGCATTCATCTACTTTGCTCCCTAGGAACAAGGTCTGATGTTATAAACATCACATGATGAGCCAAAGTCACCTTCCCAGCCATGCAACAGCAACTTCTTGTCTGGGACAAGGCCCAACCTGACCAATCCTGAGATGATAGACTGACTACACCTGATTAACACACTCTGCTTTGTTAACTGTGAGAAGCCTCCAGCTATACAAATCCCCTAACTCTTGCCTTTATTTCCCTTTCTATAAAACCTCAAATTCATTGTCAGCCCTTTGAATACAAGGCTAAGTATACGGGTCTCCTCATCTTCCCAATGTAGCCACACTGATTAAAGCTCTTTTCATCATTAACTTTCCTTTTTAGTTTTTGAGGTGAGTTGCCAGATCTGATTTATTGGATCTTCAGGGTCATGCCTCTGAGACTCCACTACCAAACCAACATGTAAAAAGATGTTTAATCCAATAGTAAAAACATAAAATACCTCTTAAAAACAGGCCCTTTAATTATCCATTAACCTACTGAAAGCCACCTTGCTTTCTTTTAAGTTTTGGCAATTCTGTTCGCAGGTTTTTGTGTGGACACAAGTTTTTAACTCCTTTGAGTCACCAAGGAGGGTGATCATGTCACAGAAGAAGAGATAAATCTAAAGAAGTGTTTGAGGAGTTCCGGGAGAAAAAGGGGGAATTGACTTAGGACCAGTGGAGTTCATGGAATACATGATGAAAAAGAATTTCAGCATGTGCTAGTCAGAGGCACAGAGGTTTATTTATGGAAGCAGCTACATATTCAAGGGAGAATTAGTGACCTATGGGATTAAGCAAGGAATACATATTCAAGGGAGAATGTGGGCCATATCAAGAGTGAGAGATATGTTTTGGGGGTTCCAAGCTCTTTTTTTAAAGGAAACTTGGGGAGGCATGGGTATGGAATGAAATGAATTTTCAGGGGTTGTAGTTCAGTGGTGCAGTGCTTGCCTAGCACATGTGAGACACTGGGTTTGATCCTCAGCATATGCGTATATGCAACTAAAAAAAATTTTTAAATGGAATTTTCAGCCTCTTCTGCTTCAGTATTGCAGCAGTCTCCAGCCATCTGTGACTTCTTTCTGGATTATTGTCAGAAACAGAAGATGAGACTAAAAGGAGTATGATTTATTTAAGTGAGAACAAAGGAAGCAGAGCTCTCTTGCTGGGCAAGAAGCTACCTGATAGCAGGTTGCCAATTAAGTGTACTGATTTGTAAGGGTTTATATAGCTACTGGGTAGGAGCAGTGATCAATATCCAAGCTAATCGGATATTGGAAAGGTGCCAAGGCTATTGGTTCAGCCTGAAACACTGATTGGTTAGCTCTTGAATCTGTAGCTTTTACTCAGGTCTGTCCCCCGACCCTCAGCCCAGGACAAAGCAGTTGGTTGGAATGTTTGTACAGGATAATTTCATGGAGAAGCCTCTTTTGGGGGGCATTTTCTTAAGTGTCTATTTGTTTTACTATCTATCTATCTTATCTTAATCAGAAAGCTATGTAGGAATCAGTCCAGCAATCTCAAGATGGTTTCTGGTGATCTGCTCAATCTCAGGATCCTCACTAACATGATCTTCACTATCTTATCAGTAGATAGCACTGTAAAGTTCCCCAAATTTTGGGATCCTCATGATATCATATCTTTCTTTGCTTAACCCATTTATTGGGGTGTTAATTAACAGTGCAGAGGTAGATTTACAGGAATTTGGGAGTAACAGACCTGGAAGAGACAGACCTGGAAAAGTGTGTAGAACTTCTGAAGTCAAATTTAATTTCCTTGTCCTTCCTGTAGGTCTCCTTTCTACTTTTTATTCCTCCTATCCTAAATCAATCATATGGTAAAACCATGTTTACTTTTATCAGACCCTGTGGATTGTTGAGACTCCTTGAAGTCAGGTCCCCTACCCTTTGGCCTAGGATACCAGTAACATCTCTTGGAACCCCCAAAACACATCTCTCACTCTTGATATGGCCCATATTCTCCCTTGAATATGTATTCCTTACTTAATCCCATAGGTCACTAATTCTCCCTTGAATATGTATCTGCTTACCTAAATAAACCTATATGAAACTATAATGGTGGAAATGATACTAGAGATGGGGACTTGTGATTTGATGATGGCCAAAACTGAATATTAGTCAAAGTAAGCACAAATATACAGACAAAGCTTTAATCAGGAAAATAAAAGGAGGAGGGGGACTTTCAGGGGATAGCTCTGATTGAGAAAAGTCAAAACTTCCCAGTAATATTTATTTATCTATCTATCTATTTATCTATCTATTTATTTATTGGTACTGGGGATTGAATCCAGGGATACTTTACCACTGAGCTATATTCCCTGCTTTTTATTTTGAGACAGTCTTGCTAAGTTAGGGCCTAAGTTGCTGAGGCTGGCTTCGAACTTGCGATCCTCCTGCCTCAGCCTCCCAAATTGCTGGGATTACAGTTGTATGCCATTGTGCTTGGCTTAATTGCTTTCTCATAATACTCTATGTACTTTTCTTCTTTAACTGAACAGAATCAAATAGATTTAAATTATAACAGGGAGCTAAATTTTTAGTTACTGATCTCAGCATAGCATTTAAAAATATTGGGGGAGGGGACTAAGGATGTAGCTAGGGAACTAGGATGTAGAGGGCTTGCCTAGCATCTGAGGCCCTGAGTTCAATCCCCAGCATCACAAAGAAAAAAACTGTAATTGGGGGAAATACAACTGACTTTTCATGAAATTTTTGTGTTCCAAAAAGTTACAGCTGCTTCCCCTATTTGGTCTTCCTCCAGAAAATGGTATTAACTGTTGCTTCTGGTCAGCTTGCACTCAGTAAGATTGAATGGAAAGAAATAGGAAGTGGCCCAAAGACTGCTAAGTGCCTATTCTGACATTCATTCCTTTGTTCTTAATGAAAGAAACCTAACATTCAGTAAGCACTCTGCAGAAAAGAAAAAATACCCTTTTCTGCTTTCTTTCCTCAAAGTTTTGATCAAGACATATGTGCTAAGCAGTTTTGGGAATGACTGTTCAAAGGAAGCTGAATAAATTGACAGAAGCCTCTTTTTATTCTTTTTGTCTTTTGTCCACATTTTAGATGTGATGGCCAGAGTTTGAGCAGCCACAGAGAGATGAAACAAGGACCTTAAATACTGATGACATGGACCAGGATGGTAGAATCAAAAGGCAGAAATCTAGGACCCTAGTGATACTGTGGAACTACTTTTTCAATACTGGACTCTTCTATATTAAATAGAAAAACTTTTAATAACTCACTACTGTGACTACTATTTGTGTGTTGTGTGTGTGTGTGTGTGTGTGTGTTTAAGCTATGTAGCTGAACCTAGTTGTTGTTTTTTTTTTTTTTTTGGGGGGGGTACTGGGGATTGAACTCAGGGGCATTGGACCATTGAGCAATATCCCCAGTCCTATTTTGTATTTTATTTAGAGACAGGGTCTCACTGAATTGCTTAGTGCCTTGCTTTTGCTGAGGCTGGCTTTGAACTTGCAATTCTTCTGCCTCAGCCTCCCGAGTGGCTGAGATTACAGGTGTGCACCACCATGCCTGGCTGAACCTAGATTTAACCATAATTACACTGATGGCTTTTAGAGTGACTGGCTTCTCTGATAGTGAGTGAACAGCAGGACCTGACTAAAGTTTTTTTTATATTCTTTGCACTCACAAGGTTCCTCTTGACTGAATTGTCTGGTGTTAACAATTGTCTGGTAAGAGCTGAGCCTAAAGTTCTTTCCACAATGGATATATTAGTGGACATTGCATTGTGAGGATTCACTAATTTTCCCACACTGGTGAACTAAGACAGCTTCTCCAAAGAGCAGTACCTTATGCAGCTACTACTGACCAGTTAGTGATGCTATTATTATGCTTGGGAATGGACTACTCTAAGCTTAAGATTCTTTGTCATTATCATGAAACTTCATTATTCATGATATAAAGATCATAATCTTCTCTCCAAGATGATTTTATTGTTTGACTTTCAAAGAATTCCCAAACAAGCAACATTTAAAAACTGCATCATCAATATTAAAGGGAATAAGTCCAATATCTTTCTGTGGATATTTATTGAATAGTATATATGCAGTAGTTACTGTACTGGCACTGGAGTTACCAAGTAAGACAGTTGCTATTTGGATTAATTCAGTACAGTTCAAAATGTAATATCTCTTCCACAGACTGTAAAACTTTGATTAATATCTTGAATTAATGAGATACTGGGGTGGGGATAGAAAATGTAAAAATGAAATGACATAATTCTGAAGGCAAGTTCTATTATTAACCAGGAAAGGATCATCCTTGCTTTCCAAAATGCTTCCTCTGTGCATGGGGGGTAGAGTTGGAGGGATAAAGGTAAGGCTAGTGGGAGGGAGGGGTAGAGCCTGTTAGGGAAAAGAATTCACTATTAACCCATACTTTAAGACAACTTTGAGAGTGGTATACTTCCAAACATCATGAGTTTTATAGGAGTCTGTTGCTATATCATTTGCAAAAAATAACAACCTGCCCCTGACTGACACAAGTCTAATGAATCAGTGGACATTATATTTGCTGATAATTTCAAAGACCTCACTCAGTCATGAGGCTATTTCTTGGAGATCCATAATCATTCATTAACACATTAAAAATTCTGAGAAGTCTTATAGTAAAGAATGCTATTTAACTCTGATCTCACTATACTGTCTAGGGTGAAATTATTTGGCTCCAAAACTAACTTCAAGGAAAGCAAAGGACAGAGAATGGAGGCAAACAGCTTCCAACTCAATCCCTAAGAATTCTGATGTTGGCCAGAATAACTTTTCCTAAAGTGCTGTTTGCTTCTCAATGTATACTTTCTGACGTTCTACAGGAAGAGAACACCTCATCAAGCCAGTTTGCCTTTGTGGTGGTGTCTCTGATGCTGAAAGAGACCTGACTTCTGTCTGAAGGCTTCTCCACATTCATTACACTCATAGGGCTTTTCTTCGTTGTGGATTCTTATGTGCTGATTGAGGTGTGAGTTAAGTCGGAATGCTTTCTGGCATACATTACACTTGAAAGGTTTTTCTCCAGTGTGAATCCTATGATGTCGAATAAGGTCTGAGGTCAAACTGAAGGTTTTCCCACACTCATTACACTGATGGCTTTTGGAATGACTGTGGATTCTCTGATGGTGGGTGAGAAGCAAGGCCTGACTAAATGTTTTTCCACACTCCTTGCATTCACAAGGTTCCTCCTGACTATGAATTCTCTGGTGTCGATTAAGGTGAGAGCTACGCCTAAAGTTCTTTCCACAATGGATACATAGATAAGGTTTCTCTCCAGTATGGATTCTGAGATGTTCCAAAAGGCCTGCATTCTGGCTGAAGACTTTTCTACACTCTTTGCACTGATACGGCTTCTCACCAAGATGGATTTTCTGATGTCTGACAAGATGTGAGCTTCTCTGAAAGACTTTCCCACATTCATGGCACTGATGACCTTTCTCTCTAGAAAGAATTTTCTGATGTCCAGTAAGAGTAGAACTCTGACAGCCTTCAGATTCACTGAGCTTTTCTCCCATGGGTACAAGTCCATGTTCAATCAGGTCTGAATGCTGGATAATTCCCTCCCTACATTCTCAGCATTTATAGTCAGTCTTCTCCTTGGGCTTAGCCTGCTCCCTTCCCAAATCAGAGTCTTCATAAAGAGCTTCTATAGGTTCAGAAATTTTCCTAGATGATTCCACTTTTCCACAAGAGTTGGTCACTAAAACAAGATTCCCGTTCTTAATCCTTGTCTCTTCACCTGAAACATTAAATATATATCACTAATTACCTGTTTTTTGGTGCTTGGGAAAAGGAATCTGCAACTAGGAGAAAAAAAAATGAAATCAAGCCATGTGTGCAAAGTAAAAATGCTGTGGTTGCTTGTGTTTGTATAAAGTACATAGAATGATATATAAGAAATTGTTAATAGTGACCTTCAGGGAAGGATAGAGGGTTGCGGTGAAGGATGACTTCTTTTCAATGGCTTAAGTTTTATCATGTGATACACACCACACACAGAGAAGCTAGAAAACAAGCAAACCAATTGTTTTTGACTGTACAGTCTTGAAAATGTTTCATTACATGGGGGGGGGGGGGCGGAAACTAGCTCAATTGCGGTTCCTCAGGCCAATAAGAAAGGGATGGCACTTTAAGTGAAAATGAAGAAATGTAGATGTGATGCCAACTAGCTTAGCTACACAATTTTATAAAGTAATTTAAGTCCTCTGGGCTCAGTATCCTTATCAATAAATCAAAAACCATTGAACCATAAAAACTTGAGGGTAATGTGTTCATGAAAATCCTAATCTTCGTGGACAGCAGTAACTGGTTTCCTATATAGGTTCAACAGACTTTTTATATCTCATATGACTTTTTATAATTTCATATGACTATTTCCTCCACCCCAACCCCAATAGTTCAAGAGACTAGCACAGTGCCTGGTACATAGCAGACACTAAACAAGTGGTATTTTTTTTTTAGAAAAATGTTTTATGAATATAGATTTGAGTCGTAAGGCTGAAATTATGTGAAGATGAAGGAAAACCTCTGTTCAAACACACAGGCAGAAGGATGTGAAGGATGATGGGAAAATGGCTTTTAAGGCCTGGAATATGAATAGACACGAAAAGTAAGAATGGGGTAATGGACAGACAAAATAGAAGAGTGAGACCCTAAGCAGCTCTAAAAAACACCTGAAGGTTAATCAGTGTGATCAAATGAAAGGTAGCAGATATTAAAAAGTAGAGAAGAGATGGGAGCCAAAAGTAAAAGTGAACATGAAGGGATTAGTAAGAAGGCATCAGAGAAAGTAGTCACATGTGAGGAGTGGAGATATTAAATAATATAATAAATAATGGACTACACTGTGGATTAAAGCTCTTTTTAATAGAATGAAGTAATCTACACAGGATGAAGAAGTGAAAGACTAAGAGAAGGAAGGGAAGGAAACAGAGGAGATTCTTTTTCAACAATAACATGATATGTATAACTAAAAGGAAGGAGGGGGATTAAAACAAAAAATAACCGGAACTTTGAATATAAAATAACATTTCAACAGATCCAGAGGATAAGGAACATTCTCAGGAATTTACTATCATTATATTCACTTTTTGTTTTAAAATATATACCTGTCATTGTTTATAAGTTCATTTCTTCAAAGTCATTCAGAAAATGGTAGGCCCCTTTCTTTCAGCTAATTTACTCAGGAGACTCTCAGAAGAAAGGGAATTTGAAGCAGACTCAAACTGAACAGCCTAGTGGGCAATAAGTAAAGGATGACTTTAGAAATAAAATCAGCCAAGCTGGGGCTATAGCTCAGTGTTAGAGTGCCTGCCTACCACGCATGAGGCACTGGGTTCAATCTTCAGTACCACATGAAAAAAAAAAAAGTTATTGTGTCCATCTACAACTAAAAAAAAAAAAAAAAAAAATTTAAAAAGAAAGAAAGAAAATCAGTCATTCAGCAATAGACATTTATTGATTGTCTACTCAAGGACGGTGACTCAAAGAAAAACAAAATAAACAAAACAAAATGCCACAAATAAAGTCCCTGCCCTTTTAGTCTGGCAAGAAAAAAAAAAAGAAGTAGACCAGAAACTATAATGGAATATCATCTATTCTATGACATGAGAAACCTTGCTGCTCTGGAAGCATAACTGGGGAAACTAACCCAGACTTGGGGAAGTGATATCTAAGATATATCTTGAAGGATGAGTAGGAAGTAGTCAGGGAGAGCAGGAAAAAAATTGTTCCAGATAAAAAAAAAAACAAGGCAAAAAAGGTTCAAAAGAGAGAAACCGCAAGGAGAAAGTAGGAAATGGAACATTGCCTGGCATGATAGAAAAATACAATATGAGTAGGTGGGACAAAAGGCAACTAATTGTCCCAATTTAGGACTGAGGGATTTCTTAGGATGTGTAACTGTCACTGCTAAAAGTCTCAAAAAAACTGGGACAAACTGGTTATTCTAGTGAACATAAGACTGATAACAGGCCATGTGAGGCCTTTGTTAATGAAACTGGGAGTTAAGGTAGTGATTTTTATCTTATTTTAATTTTTTATTATAAAATTTTATAGAAAAATTATATTATTCAGCTTATTAAAAGGTTTTTAAGCCAGGCATGGTGGCACACAATGGTAATCCCAGCAATTTGGGAGGCTAAGGTAGGAGGACTGCAAGTTTGAGACCAGCCTGAGTAACTTAGCAAGACAGTCTCAAAATAAAAAATAAAAAGGTTTGGGGATATAGCTCACTGGTAGAGTACCCAATTCTAAGTACCATACATACAGACAAAGGTTTTAAGGAAAAGAGAAACATTAATGAATTTGTATTCAAATAATGAAGTATGAGCAGAAGGTAGTTTCAATGGAAGGGAGGAAGAGAGAGAGAAAGAAGCAGGGATTATATCAGACTAAAAAGAAGAAAAGAAAAATGTAAGAAACAGAAAAAGAGGGATTTTAGTAACCAAGAAATTAAGAGTAGAATAGAAAAATCCAGGTGACATTAAGAAATAAAAGATAATTGCTATTTGGGCTGGGGTTAGAGCACTTGCCTAGCATGTATGAGGCACTGGGTTCGATTCTCAGTACTGCATATAAAAAAATAAAATAAAGATCCATTGATAGTAAAAAAGTATTAAAAAAAGACAGTTGCTATTTACAATAATTTGAAGGAGATAAGAAAAAATGAGTTGGGTGTAGTGGTGCAAGCCTATAATCCCAGAAACAAAGGAGGCTGAGGAAGGAGGATTGCAAATTTGAAGCCACCCTCAGAAATTTAGCAAGATCCTCAACAACTGTCTCAAAAAATAAAAAAACCCCTGGGGATGTAGCTCAGTGGTAGAACATCCCTGGGATCAATCCTCAAATAGTAGCAAAAGAAAGGGAGAAAAAAAGTAATGAAACATGTGGCCGAGATTCTTTGCCTTCAGTGGAAAACTGTACTACTTCTAAAATTCATTCCTATAGTAAAAGGGAAGAAGAGCAAGATGAAGGTCCAGATTCACCTTTTGGGGTGTTTTATTCAACTAAAATGCCTAGAGTGATGAGTATTTTTTATATCTTGATTGTGGTGCTGATTAGAAGACTATACTTTTCTCATGTTTGTGAAAACTCACTGATTGGTAGAGTTACAGTGAATTCTACTGATGTAAGTTATACCTCAATAAGTCTAACTCGAAAACAAAACACAAAACACCAAGGTTGGGGCTGGGGTTGTGGCTCAGCGGAAGAGCGCTCACCTAGCACATGAGAGGCAATGGGTTCGATCCTCAGCACCACATAAAAATAAATAAATAAATAAATAAAATAAAGGTTTTAAACAAAAACAAACAAAACACCAACGTTGCTGGTAGGGCCTCAAAGGGAAGTGCACAGCCTCTCTCACCTCATAAGCAAAAACATGCAATTTAGTTCTTACCCTTCTCTTTCTCAGGTTTTTGAATGTCACACTTGGATAGGACCTGCTGTTCTTGCCCTCTTTTCAGAGGGGCTGCTTCTTCCACAAACATTTTTTATTTCTTTGCCTGGTTTGGGTTTTACAGATAATTAGGTACATGTAGAGATAATTAAGTACATGTAGATTTAGGAAACTTGTTGCAAAAAACACTTCAAAGATAGAAAAAAGAAACCCCAAAGTGGCAAAGAATATGGGAGGGAAATCTAGAGCACATTCAGTTTCCTTCCAGTAGGGATCAAGTAAGGCTGATGTTAAGACCTATAAAGATGAATACCCAGACAGGAAAGAAACTGAACTGTGCTCACACCCAGCTGTCTGGGGAGAGGCTTAATTCTAGTTTTCCTGCAAAAGAGCACATCTGATTTCTATCTCCTTGTCCTGTTTCTCCTGCTACAAATGCTCCAGTACAACAACCAAGTCCTCCCTACTCTCTGGCCAATGGTCCTGCACTCAGTCCTGGGACTCCTTGAGCAGGATGGCTGGGAATTGCTGGAGCACCAGCAGCTCCAGGGTCTGTTCTTCGTCTCAGGCTCAGCCACTATTGGCAGATCTTGCAGAGATGGCTCAAAGTCCCTCAAGTTCTGTGATTTCTTCATTACATAACTGCCTGAATTATTTGTAAATGGCTCTGTCCAAGGCCTTTCCTATTTCCTTACAGCTTGAATCCTTGTTTTCAAGTAGAGTACTTATAACAGGGACTTAAAGGCTGCTTTTACTAAAAGTATTGACTCTTCACTTGGTCCTACAGCTATTTCCTTTGCTACCTTAAACTTTGGGTCAGATTTCTGCTCAACTCTGCATATAGACATGTTAATAAGAAGTGTCTTTTTAAATATTGGTAATGTAATATTCATTAACTCTACATTTACTCAACCTCTCTTATTTCAGCCTTTCAAGCCTCAAGATATTTTCAAGAATTTTAGGATCTGCAGGCAGATCACCCCATGATGGGATCAAGGATGCTCCACTACATGGGAACAATTGTGTCATCATGGGAACCAAATTGCCTCCTCAAGTAATAACTATTTTCCTAGAGCCAGCAGGACCTCGCAGAACCAGATCTGATATAATGGTCAACCAGACTACACTTTGACTAAGACTTCTTGCTACCACTTTTTGTCTTTCTCCTATATATTCCTGAAGCTCTTGTCAGAACCCAGAAGACAAGGTTTAGGATGCTCATCCGCTTGTTTTTTTCTCAGTGTAACCATACTGATTAATAAATTTCTTTCTTGCTTCATCACCACTTTTTCTCTTTGATTGTATTCTTGAGACACTGGGTATCTGCATCTGGTCTACTGGGGCCCAGAGAATCTAGGACTCTGGTAACATATCAATCCTCCTTCATTACCCAAAGTTTCTTCTTCTTCAGATTCAGAGGAGAAATGGAATGAGCACTCACCAATGCAGTTGCCATCCCCAATTTCAGACTGCTCTGTTTTGGAGAACTCTCTTTTGACTGTATTCTCAGGAGTACTCCTAAGAATATAATAACAAGAATCACAGAAGTAGTAATGTTAGTAGTAACAATAATAACAATATCAATTCTTCTTGGATTTATAAGCTTTCTACTATTTATTTGTTTTTTTCCTAAAGTAACCATTCCTAAGCACATAAATAAAATGAGAAAACATTGTTTTATAGAAGATTGCCATCTAACATGGCAGAAATAATAGATTTGAAAAATCACCATTTTTTCAGCCCTCAAAATGAATTATTCAATCAAGGACTACTAAAACTACTAGGTGAAAGGAGTGTGACAATAGACATTCTCAGTCTCAAAAAAACCCCAAACCAATGGCTACTTAGTTACAAAGGAGAAAATGGAGATATTTGGCAGTCACAAATTTACCGAATGATCAAACTTAGCAACAACAATAGTGCTTTATCATCTATACAGCATTTCTACTAAAAATGTTTTCCATGAATCTAATAATGAAAACTTTGAGATAAATCCAGACTGCAGCTCATTTATAACAGGCATGGGCTCAAAAATAAAAGGAAGGTATTGGGAGGTTATTATTCTACATTAAGGAGAGCACTAAATGCAATGTGTGAAATAATAATTTTAAAAAGCTACAAATTTTTTTTTGAAAAATTCAGAAGTCCAAATGTGAATGAAATATTAGAATGGGGTAGGCAAACTATAGCCCAGAAAACCAAGTAAAGCCTGGACCTTATTACCTTATTTTGGATTCCTTTATTATAATACTGCTACATCCATTTGTTTAGATATTGTTTATATCTGCTTTCCCAATACAATGGCAGAGTTGAGCAGCTGCCACAAAGGGTATCACCTGTAAAGCTGAAAATGTTTACTATCTAATCCTTTATAAACAATGGTTATGCCCAATCTTTATTTATTTATTTATTTTTTGCAAGTGCTGGGGATCAAAGGGATCAAAGTCAGGCCCTAGCACATGGTAGGTAAGTGCTCTGCTGTTGAGCTACATCCCCAGCTAGATAGTGGTTATTAACCCCTGACACAGAACTTTCTTAGCTGGTATGATAGTTCATGGTCACAAAAAAACAATAGTCTTATTAGCAGAAAATGAATGCTGAAACTTTCAAATGTGTGTGTGCAAAGAGTAAGAACACACAAATGTAATAGGAAATTGACAACTGCTGGTACACAAAGACATTACATGTATTATTCTTTCAATATTTCTGAAGGATTTGAAAATTCTCAAAATGATGAGAGAGAGCCAAGTGTGGTGGCTCTGTAATCCCAATGACTTGGAAGTCCAAGGTAGAAGACTGAAAGTTCAAGGCCACTCTCAGCAATTTGGTGGGGCCCTCCGCAACTTAGCAAGACCTTGTCTCAAAAAAACAAGTAAAAAAATGGGCTTGGTAAAAGATACAGAAAAAATAAGTAGGGATTGGGGCTATAGCTCAGTGGTAGAGTGCTTGCCTCACACACGTGAAGGACTGGGTTCGATCCTCAGCACCACATAAAAATAAATAAACAAAGGTATTGTGTCCATCTACAACTAAAAAAATATTTTAATGTAAATAAATAAATAATTATTACTGGTTATATGTTCATTAAATCCAGTGTCAGAATATTCATAAATCATTACTGATGGCTTGTTATGTGCCAGTCTCTTAAGCGCTGAAGAAATCAAGGACAACTCCTTGAACCTCTACTGCTCTGTTTCTTTTCTTTTTGTGGTATTGAAGATTGAACCCAGGGCCTTTTGCATGCTAGGCAAGTGTTCTACCATTGAGCTATATCCCAAGCCCTGCTCTCTATTTCTCTCTCTCTCTCTCTCTCTCTCTCTCTCTCTCTATATATATATATATATATATATATATATATATATATATATTTTTTTTTCTCCCAGTACTGAGGATTGAACCCAGGGTCATTCTTCCACTGAGCTACATCCCTAGCACTTTTTAATTTTTGAGACAGGATATTGCTAAATGGATGCGGTTGGCCATGAAATTGTGATCCTACTTTAGCATCCCAAGTAGATGTAATTATAGGCATGTGCCATTGCACCTGGTTCAATAAATCTTAAATGTTATTAACTGTTTACTATAAAGAAGCAATTATAGTTCAGTGGATTAAGTGTCTTGATGAAGGCATGCATAGGATGCTAGAAGAGCAAAATGGTAAAGTACCTAAATCTCAGTAACAGGTCAGAAAAGGCTTCATGGAGATGAGTGAAAGTTAGACAAGGAAACAAGGAAAGGGTTTTCAGACAGAGAGAAGTCAACATAGAGTTGTTGGCCTTCAGCACAGTAGTTATAATGGCTACAGAAAGATTATGGGGAGCTGGAACCCTGGGAAACATTTATATGTAAGAAGAAAAGTGAAAATAAAGAGTATCTAGAGGGACAATAAGGTCTATTTCTGTAAATATGGTCTGATAGCAAGAACCTATGCCACTGGACCTAGTGGGGCATGCTGTAATTCCAGCAACTCAGGAGGCTGAGACAGGAGGATGGCAAATTCAAGAACTTAGCAAGACCCTCAGCAACTAAGTGAAACTCTATATCAAAACAAAAAATTAAATGGACTAGGGATGTATGTTAGTGGTAAAGTACCCCTGGGTTCAATTCCCAGAACTACCACCCCCCCCCCCAAAAAAAAAAGGAAAAGATAAAAAAAAGAAAAAACCTATGTCTTATGCCTGGATTCTAATTCAGCCCTGTCACTTACAAGCCATGTCCCCTTATCTTCCTAGAGACTTAGTTAACTTATTTGTAAAATGAAGATGATACCTAATTCACAGAGATTTCAGGTTAAATGAGAAAATAATGAAAAATGATTATTATTAGCCAGAAAATATGAGTTTGGTATTATAATAGTTAATTTTGGGTCAACTCTGAGCCACAGGATGCCCAGATATTTGGTCAAACATTATTCTGGATGTTTCTGTGAGTGTTTTTGCATGAGTTTAATATTTAAATTGGTAGACTGCAAACTGAGTAAAACAAATTGCCCTTCATAATGTGGTAGGCATCATATAATCAGTTAAAATCTGGCTAGAACAAAAAAGTAGACCCTTTCCCAAGTTAGAAAGAATATTTACTATTAATAGTATTCACACTGAAATATTATCTTTTCCCTCTGACTTCAGACTGGAACTGAAACATCTCTTAGCTCTTCCTGGGTCTAAAGCCTTCTGGCCTTCAGGCTAGAACTACACTCTCAGGTGTTTTTGTTTGTTTGTTTGTTTGTTTAGCTTTTTAGTTGTAGATAGACAAAATACCTTTATTTTTATGTGGTACTGAGGATCAAACCCAGTGCCTCATAGGAGCTAGACAAGAGATCTGCCACTGAGCCATTACCCCACCCTGATTCTCAGGTTTTTGACTTGGACTAGAACTAAAACATTTTTCTTCTGGGTCTCCAAGTTGCTGATTCACCCTGAAGGACTTGGAAGATTCTATAATCATGTAAACTAATTCTTTATTATAAATCTCTGTCTTTTTTTGTGGGGGTGGTACTGGGGGTTGAACCCAATGGTACTCTACCACTGAGCTACATCCCCATTCCCTTTTTTATTCTGAGGCAGGTTTCAGTAAGTTGCTCAGGCTGGTCTTGAACTTGAGATCTTCTTGCCTCAGTCTCCTGAACAGCTGATTTACAGTCATGTACCACTACACCCAACTATAACAACTCTATTTCTATATATCTATCTACTGATTGTTCAATATAGATATTAGTTCTGTTTCTCTAGAAAACCCTGACCAATACAGGTATATTGTGTATGATATGGTTGATTTTTATGATTAATTAAATATATCAGCATAATACATAATCAGTAATTAACAACCTGTTTTGGGGGAGAGTTCCATCTACCTAGCTATTTGAGTCAGAAAACTGGCTGCTCTCTCCTCCTTTTATAGTTCATGTATCTGATTAAGTTTTACTGATTCTATTGCTTAGATATCCCTCAAATCCAACCCCTTTGCCACCACCTTCTCTTACTCAGATTACTACAACTAGTCTTTCTGCTACACCAATCTATTTTCTACATTGCCATTAGTGATCTTTCTAAGAAGGATATGAAATATTGTGTCTGTATTGTGTCTATGTCTGTTACATCTAATGGCTCATCATTACTCTTAAGATCAAGTTCAAAATATTTAATGTGCTTTAACTTTTCTTATGACCTACTTTGCTTATGAATTACTCTTAGTTCTTCAAGCTTGCAATACTCTTTCTTGCTCCTAGGTCCTTATATATCCTACTCCTACTGCCTAGCCTATATAGCTATTCTATCTGCTTCCTATTTATTCATTCACTTAATCCTCACATAAACTTATAAAAAGTAACTTCTTTGCTCTCTTCCCTCACCCTCTTTTGGTATTGGGTATTGAACCCAAGGGCACTCCACCACTGAGCTATATCTCTAGCTCTTTTTATTTTATTTATTTTGAGACTAAGTCTTGCTGAGGCTGATCTCAAAATCCTTCTGCCTTGACCTATAGAACTGCTGGGATTACAGGCTTGAGTGGCCATAGCCAACTTTACAACCTCGCTGTATAGAGAAGGAAACTGAGACATGAAGAGGTGAAGAATTTACATAAGGTCCCAAAGCTGAACCTCAGATTTCCTCTAATTTCCCTTGCATCCACAGTACAACAACCTTGGCTTACCTTTGCCTTCTCTTATATTTATACCCTACATTTGATTCAGTAGCAAATATTACTGACTTTACTTTCAATGCAGACAAATAATCTGACCACTATTAACCACATCTACCACAATACTGGTCCAAAACTATCTTTATCTCCCACTTGAATTATTTGCAAGTTTTTTTTTTTAATGAAAAACTTGACATATTTGCAAGTTTTTCTTTTTAAGAGAGAGAGAGAGAGAGAGAGAATTTTTTAATATTTATTTATTTTTATTTTTTGGCGGACACAACATCTTTGTTTGTATGTGGTGCTGAGGATCGAACCTGGGCCGCACGCATGCCAGGCTAGCGCGCTACGGCTTGAGCCACATCCCCAGCCCCAAG